GAAAAATCATTTCTTCAAAATGAAAGTAGGATATAGGGATGACCTGAAGCACCAAAAAGGAAGAAACAAGGGGTCATTACACACCAAATATGCACAAAGCCACATGACACCATCCCTATATCTTTGTTTTATTGTTCATAGGCAAAGTTTAATATGAGACAAAGATATAGGGATGGTGTCATGTGGCTTTGTGCATATTTGGTGTGTAATGACCCCTTGTTTCTTCCTTTCTTGTGCTTCAGGTCATCTCTATATCCTACTTTCATTTTGAAGAAATGATTTTTCCACTTTGGAATATATGACTACAACAGTGAAGAGACACTGCCTGAATTTGAGGGAGTGACAGCAGAGAGGTCATTCCCCCCTGAAATTACAGCAAATGTGCTCACTGAGACTATTGGTGTACTGGCTGCTCCTGATCTCCATGGAGTACTAGTTAAGTGAATGTATGCCCACCCAGCCCGTGTCACCAGGAGGGACTGCTACAGCAGGTCTGCTATCATCGCGCTGCATCCACGACCCACTGAGTTTGACTGCTAGCATTACCTGTGATTTAAAAACAATGTATATAAACTTTTAGTGAGTTATCAGGTGTGTGACAATATAATTATGTGTCACTTATTCTTCGAACAAGAAAAGTTAAAATTATGGGTGCAGATGGCTCACTCCCACTCGCCGAACTGCCCTGTGACCTACAAATTAATGCTTTGTAGGCGGACACCCAGTCAATTCATAATTATACCAAAACCAAAACTCCACAGCTGTCCCACTTTGGGAGCAATTAGCGCATTAGCTTAGTTAAGTACTCTCTCTGGGTATAAGTTTATTTGCATATCAATTGACTTATTTTGCCCTGCTCATTCTTTATGTAATTTAACAACATTGCTTATCAAATTGTAATGCATGTCAACTACAGAATATAGAGTCAGAAGGGCTCTCAATCCTATCAGAGAACACCCACACTCAGTCGTAGTCACTGAGGGACAGTGGGCCAACTTCTCCTGTGGCATCAAAATCCCTGGCAGTATTAGATGGAGGATTTGGGACTTCACCAATGATGGCTACGTCTACAACACCGCGGGGAGTCTCCCTGAGTTGGAGGGAGTGACGGCAAGGAGGTTGTTTGCCCCTGATATTACAGGGAGGATCCTCACTGAGACCATCGGCGTACTGGCTACTGCTGAGATGGATGGAGTACCAGTTGAGTGTGTGTATCGCCATCCAATCCTTGGCACGAGAGACAGTTACAGCAAGTTTGCCCTCATCCAGGTTCACCCTGCCAGAGACTACGACTGCTAACTAGTCTCTCAACGATGATATCACATGTTTTTGTTGAAAAAGTTTTAAACAAGGTATTAATGGGCTTGAGCAGCATAACTAACGATAGGTTTTTGCCGCAAGGTCACAATGAATTATAGAAGAAACCTCAACTTGCGCTTAATTGACAGGAAATCATACATGTAGGACAATAATCATGTTTACACACTTTCTATGGTCAAATCTGTTCCCCCTTCTATGAGATAATTATGACAGGAGAATGCCCTCAGCTATGAATGGCAAGATGAGGAAATACTCCTCCTTGTCTCTTAACAGATTCATGACATTAGAATTATGAAGTTCGCAATCCTCTCCTAAAAGAAAGGTCTTTTACCAAGCTGAGCATTTATATACCCAACCCACAAGAATGGTGAGAATTTGAGAATCATGATGTGGGTCTCTGGTTTCTGTAAACATTAAAGCTATGCTGCTTAATTGATTATATGGCCACATATATTCTATTGCTATAGTTGTATCATAAGACACACAACGAGTGTATTACCATAGAATCCATGTATAATATAGGCATGATAACTTTATGAGAATACGGTCACAATAGCAAGACCTCACCTTCTTTCGAACACACTATCCCGTTTCCCGTATAACCTTCTTTACACACACTCCGAGTCTTTTCTTTACACACACACCGAGTCTCTTCTGCCTCATAAGTAGCATTTTTTCATCACACGATAAAAATCAGAAGTAATAATCATAATTAAAAAATGTGCATTAAATAGAAGTCGTATGTTCGCACATATTATTGTGTTGTAATGCGCAATTTTTCCTCTCCCATTGTAGGACCCGAATATATTTTAAAAGCCTATTCCTTGGCATAGCACAATTCAACCCGTGAAGTTAAAAGATGAAAAATAGCATATCCAAATATACCCACACGCCATTCCCAAATGAAAATACTGTACCCAAAAAGCACTACAGTGTGGGAAAATCACTTCTCATCTCTCAGTAAGTCAAGAATCACCGACACCTGTGAGGTCCAGGCCTTGCAGAGGGAAATAATGTCACTAACCACTGCTTCTCGTTCCCATGAGGATTATGTGTTCGATGTAGAATTTGTTGTTGAAGAAGTTTCAAAGGCTATCTCAAAACTACCCAACCGTAAAGCTACTGGACCAGATGGAGTCTCCAGCGAACTCCTAAAGTTTGGTGGCAGTCTTCTGAGAACTTGGATTACACAGATTTCAGTGCTATTCGTCTTCTGGAGTGTGTTCCATCATCTTTCAAGGAAGCTAATATCACCCCTATATACAAAAGGATCCTCTTGACCCTAATAGCTATAGAGGGATCTCGGTATCCAATGTGGTTGGGGGAGCAACCACGCTGTTGAGGTGGTTTCTGCATCTGGTCGTGAGTGATGGTACAGTAGACACAGCTGTGACGTCCCATTGTGTCCATATAGCACAATCTTTACATGTACTACTTGCTCCTGAGATTCCGTAAGCTCGGCTAAGGAACTCATAATCTCCGGAAAGAAAAACTCTGATGTGTTTCCCCCTGTACCAGAGTAATTTGTGTATGTACATGTGAATTTCCCAAAATGTCTATTTCACCTCCATGTCTCATTTTGTATCCTATCCACTTGCTCCCAATACCGCCCCAGAGCTATCTTGAGGTTCATCACCGAGTCATTAGCCTCAAATGCAGTAAACACACAGGTGGTCAGGATTGAATTAGGGTGAGGGGTGTTCACTACTTGAAGTGACATTTTGAAGCTCTCTCCTCCTTTGTCGCCACCGAGTTTAAGATACCTCCATGCCAGGTTAGTCTGTTGGCACTATGGATTTGTTAGGTATCAGCACACAGGTATGCATTAAAATACCTGGCATTCTCGTCTAGCAGGTGGAGAGTAAACGCCGCCAGGTCTGCCACATACACTAGTGGGGCTGGTCTCAAGTCATCCCCTCCATGTTTGAGGCCAAATGAGAATGGAGCCTACTCTGACTCCAGGTCACTCACGAGTAGCTCATGAGATGAGTTTTCGCTCACAGGGAATCATAATTCCATTCGCCCGAAACCAGCTGTATAGACAATTATTACATTATGTTGCACAATGTTGTTATAGTATACCTCCTTCCCTGTCGCATTTTGTTTGCGGCTGTTTGGACAGAACGAAGAACTCCAAGGTGGTGGTAGGAGTCCTTCTCTGGAATGACCTCACTACCTATGAGCCACTGGCGAGATAGGCGATTTCGGGCACAGGTTGCAGCTGATTCACCAAGATTTGACTTCTGGGCATTGAGTTGGTAGCTCCACTGAACTGATAACTCGAGCATGGCCTGAAGATCAGTGCCAGATCATCCGCGTACATGGGGCTGCCACAGACGTTGCCGCCAATTGTACCACCATAGCCTGAGAGCTGATACAGGAGGTAAGTCGGGCTGATGTGCTTGTGTGAACAGTGACGGGTACACTGGTGAAGTCTAGTACGAGTCCATTGTTATGCAGAAAATCAATTCCCAGAATTGGCTTTCAACTACCACGAAATTATGGGGACGCTCGAGGTCACCGATCTTTACTTGCAGGGGCTCTCCTGACTCTGTTATGAGTTTTATATCCCTAGCTCCGGAATTGCAGGGCTGCACCCTGGGCAATCGTGACAGGACCTCTTGTCGAACTAACGACCCAGAATCCAGCATCACTCCACTTCGACCCCTCCAATTCCACCGCTTGGGGTCAAAGTTCGCGGTGGCAACGTTCCTGTCCCATAATTGCAACTACTCCGGTTGTATTCGCTTAGGAATGTCAATTAGTCCCAAAAAGGAAGTGTAACTTCCGTAATTCGTAGGAAGTCTTGCTTCCGCCGTGCGGGCAGATACGCTGGCTTCTATCGCGCGCATTCAGTAGAGCGCGCGCACGAGCGGCCTCAGTCGGATTAGTTGGCAACTATGAAGTTGGCAACTATGGGACTGTTTACGAATTGGCTGGCAGGCGCGAGGCAAAATATGCGCGTGGGCATTCCTAGTAATTATGTACTGCCCGTCTGTGTTCCCGGATAGCCTTCTGCAAAATAATGGCTAGAAGGCCGCAGTGGCTCTTTTTGAACAAATTCCGTCTATTTCTAACGTTTGTTCTTTTCACCATCGTCGTTGTGTATTTGGGGCGCCTCAAGGTCTCTCTCTTCTTCCCAGGGGTGGAGTTACCGTCAGTAGAGGAACTACGAATGGAGTCGACTCCACTCCTCTGGAAGCCGTGTAGAGAAGCGTTTATCAATGGCAGCAATGTAGCGCATCGTGAGGGCAACGAAACCCACAGAGAAAAGCTCCTGTCAGTTACTGCGAAGGACACGGCCGACGTTGATGATGTGCTGAAAGTGTTGCATGCCCTGCAATTCACCTGCCAGAGTCGCCCTCTCGTCGAGACAGAGGAGCTAGGGAAGACATTTGCCAAGTTCCTGATAGCCCTAAAGAACTATACAGTGTTTCATGCACTTGAAAGGAAGAAACTTTCAGCCAAGCGACTATTGTGGGTGTGCCGCGTTATGGATGCGGAGGAATCGCTGACAGGATGAAGGGCATTGCTTATACCCTTATGCTGACCATGTTTTCACGAAGAGTTTTGCACCTGGATTGGGGTGCCCAGCAAGGACTTAGTGAGCTGGCATTCCTGGAACCTAATGCCATTGACTGGCATCTCATGCAAGAAGAAAAAGAGAAAGCATACTTACAAGACAATCACCATTTTTACAAACTGGAACGATTTTAACCAAAAGTGGAGGAGATGAAACTCCTAACAGCTTGCGCAAATTGCTGGAAGCTACAAAGAAGGAAAGTTTACAATGGGTTGCTGTGAGTACTAACATGCTGCCTAGTACTCTTGCAAACGATTCAAAGACAGTAGCATACGAATGGATCAAGAATGGCATGGCCTCTCTAAGTCTCAACAAGTGCTCTGTACATGACCTAGACATTGACTTAATTGGACTGGCTTTCCGATACCTCTTTAGATTTTCACGTTATCTCTTGCAAGAGGTGAGGGCAGCTCGCAGAGTGCTAGGACTTGAACACATGGGATATGTGGGGCTACATGTGAGGACGGGATTCAAAGGCTCAGACCAGCATGAGAAGTACCATCCCAAGCTGTACACAAAACCCTGGCAATGGAACGAGTCAATTTCCTGTGCCTATCGATATGCCGCTCAACAGTTTGGCAATCAAACTCCCATCTTTTTAGCCACAGATTCAAAGCAAGTAAGAGGTATGGTTGGGCCAGAATACAGAGGTCGAATCAGGTGCCTAGACAACCCTGTTCTCCACGTGGACGAACTGAAGAAACTGCAGCACAAGACAAAGGCCCAGCTTAAACAAAGTTTTTTCAGTGTTTGGGTTGAGCTGATTTTGTTGGCTGAGTCCCACAGTTTTAGTGAGGGGGGATTCAGGTTATGCATCCTTAGCTCAGAGTTTGTGCTTCATGCCCAAGGAAAGAACAGTCAGTGCATTAACATGTACTTCTTCATAAGAGGAGAATACTAGCTAGCTGGTAGCTATACAGTGAAAACTGTTTGCTGAGGGGTAACAAGTTCAATTTTCATGTATCAATGATGATACGTTTCATAATATTGAGTGATGGAAGGATAACGATAAAGTGCGTACTCTTGACTGGGAATTAATCACTAATACTACTGTACTTAGTGTATTATAATAGGGATGGGAATGGTACTAGCATCATAGATGTATGGGGCTAAGATAGTCTTCTTCAACCAAAAACCAAAAGAGGTGAAGCCCTGAATTTTTTAGGAATGTACATATCCATAACCACATGTGCAACGTCAATCTTTGTAAACCATTTTGTTTTCTGTAAACAACAACAAAATTGCCCCAAGCATTACATTATTATACTAGATGAATGCTAAGCTATATTATATGGGGAGCGAGAATAATGGGCATATAATACTACGTGTGTCAGTGTAACTCACACTTGGTAAGAGCTATGTGAACGAAAGTTAGTAGAAATAATGCATTCATCAATAGCCAACATCAAAATCACTACGATACATGTTTGTAAAAATAACAACAAATAGCCTCAGAGGCACTTTTTTACTTCTTCACTTCCCAATGGTAGTACGCATAGAGATGAAACTTGGTATGTATGCCTATTTTATCATTCCCATGACGATTACATGTTTCCATGATGACCTTGTATTGTTTGAAAAAGCCTCAGGCAATTTTCTTTAAAACTATACTTCTTCACTCATCAAACTTGCTAACTGCAGCATGCATGTAGGTAAAACTTGGTAAACATGCGTATTACATCATTTCCATGACAACTACATGTAATAGTTAATGTACGGAAGTCAGTGCTGTGCGCGTAATAATAGTACGAGGGGCGTGGTCGAGATAGTCATATATACAGCACAGAGGCGCAGCCGAGTTGCTGTATGATATGATCTACGAGACCACGTTCCCAGTACCATTATCACGCGCACAGCACGTGCTTCCGTACATTAAGGTATGCGTGGGCGATTCAAAAGGCGGCGACCAGGAAAACCGGCGTTCAGAACGGAAGAGAGGGCGAGAAGCTCGCGGAGCGCCCTTCCAGCAGCGGTGTGTGTCACCGTCTGAGTCGAACTCCGTTTACGAAAGGCCGCCGAGGGCGTCATTCCCGCAAAGCGTACGCTAGTCCGCGGATAAGGCGGCGGCCAGGAAAATCCAAAGTTCAGAACGAAAGAGAGGACTAGAAGCTCGCGGAGCGCCCTTCCAGCAGCTGTTTGTGTCACCGTCTGAGTCGAACTCCGTCTACGAAAGGCCGCCGATGGCGTCATTCCCGCAAAGCGTACGCTAGTCCGCGGATATAGTACAGTTCGTGTGATATAGCACAGTTCCGCGCGATATAGTACAAAAACTGTTCTGTATAATGAATATATATTGTTCAAATAGCTTCAGACGCTTCTCCTCAAACTTGGTAACGGTACCACGCATGGAGGTGAAATTTCGTATGCATGCACGTTACATCATTTCCATGACAACTTCATGTTTCCATGACGACCACATATTGTTCGAACAATGTCAAATAGCTTCAGGCACTGTTCACTCCTCAAACTTGCTAACGGCAGCGCACATGGAGATGAAACTTGGTACACATGCTTATTACCATATTTCACAGAGATATTATATAAAAATGAGCGGAGACAAGTAAATGACGAATTTGAAAAAGAGGCATATAGGGATGGTATAAAGATAAAGGGAGACCAGATAGGGATGGGATACATGAACCGTGGTTAATGAACAGATTTGAGCATGCTGACACCGCAAACTCCATCACACAATTGCCTAAGTGAAGTATTAAACATTCACCATTACAGTTCTCAGAACTTACAGGACATGCTACTAAGTAACCTACACAATTACAGAGTCCAAGTCGAGTTTAATTTAAGGGACTGTGGCAGTAGAAATGTTACAAAAAAACAAGGGAGGGACGGTGAAAGAATGCTTGCTTTTATAAACCTTTAGCCCTTGTATAATGGCACATTTCCCATTGGAGCAGCACACCTGGCAACAATATAGGGATTGTGCGATGGGGTCGGGGTGTCAGCATGCTCAAATCTGTTTACCATGCTTCATGTATCCCATCCTTATCTTGTCTCCCTTTCTATTTTTTTACCATCCCTATATAACTCTTTTTAAATTCGCAGGGTTTTCAATTTACTTGTAATCCACTTGCCAGGTTTCAGTTTAGCTGCAAAGCCATATCAGTTTACCCCGGCATTGGTAGTGCTTCCAATGGATTAGTGGTAATGCGATTTGCGACAGTGTTCATATACATACTAGAGGAATGCTAAGCATTATATGGGGAGCGAGAGTGACCGAATTGTTTTTATGTTGGTAACCCTCGATATGCACAACCAAACAAGTGTTTCCATTAAGTGGACAATGTTGGGTGCATGTATATAGGATGAAAGAAGTATTCAAACCACTTATGCCAAGTGTGACCAAGTTCACATCAATGACCTTATTCCAACACTTCCTCTGCCTGCCTCTCCGTGGCTCCAAATTCCATTCCTGGTTAAAAAGCTTCTTCCTAAACATCATCAAGGAAGCCAGAACAATGTTTTGCCTGAGCACTGCACCATTGTGCAACCACCAGCTATCTCATCAGAGTGTCGGTAGACTCTATATAGGGACGACACGGGTGAAATCTCACGTGATCCGCGTACAAAACGACTATATAAAAACTCGGTGAGAATCACTCCCTAGGCCTTCAAAACATACTAGCAATAGTCTACGGGCCCATATCTACATAATATGTCCCCCAAGACCTCATACGCACCTTCAGTCGTCCACGCGAGAATTCGCTCATACGCGATTTTAACGATTTTCGTGTCATCATCATATTCTTCATCTTCTTCTTCTTCTTCTTCAGACCCGCTAGCTCCTTACCGGAAGCACTTGAAGCGTTGATTTTTTCACAGAACGTCTCCGAATTTGCCGGAGGTGTGCACGCATATCAAGCGATCGTTTCTTTCCTGCCGCAAGTCACTACGGTAGATCGTTGAGCTCATCCTCGGTAGTCACTGAACAACGCCATTGCATCAGTGAGCCGCATGCGCCGAAGAGGGCGTTTCCAATGCGGTGCGCGCGCATTTTGTCTGGTCCACGAACGCCAGGACTGGATGCCTTCAGAGAAAACTTCTCTCATCTTCCAGTGCCTTCTGTAAGTCAGTGTGCACATTTGTAAGTGGCTAGCTTGCGTTTTGCTGTTGATTTGCACGAGCAGCAACTTGGCAATCTGCGCCGTGCCTTGCCAGGCGCCTTCATTCTTTGTCCCCCAGGTTATAGCTATCATTGTAGTCTTATTTCTGAAGCCTGCCCAATTAAACCACCACCATTATGACCATATGTGCCACAACCTAATCACGTCCTTGTTGGAGACACTGCTTCAGGTAAGAGCAGTCCATTAGCTTTTCAACAGTTATCTACCCATGAACATCAGAGTTACTGAAAATGCAGTGTTGTCATAATAGCTAAGCTGTTAAAAATAGTGGAAACAAGTGGAAAAATCATTTCTTCAAAATGAAAGTAGGATATAGGGATGACTTGAAACACCAAAAAGGAAGAAACAAGGGGTCATTACACACCAAATATGCACAAAGCCACATGACACCATCCCTATATCTTTGTTTTTATTGTTCATTTTGTTTTATTGCAACTGGGAAGTTTGTAGATGAAATGGCTGATCGCTACGCGTGCGAAGATCTCCCATCAGCTAGAGAACGGCAAATCAATGTCACGTGCATCCGTAGTCCACGTACATTGGTTGGCGGGGCCGTGTGGATCACATGCTAGACGAGTGGTTTGGATAATACGGATACTAGTAAATAAAAAAATATTCTTCCAATTAAAAACATGTGGAATATAGGGATGGTATAAAAAGCAAGGAGACAAGACAGGGATGAACTATATAACGTATGTGATGCATTAGTACAATGGGATGATGGTTCTTCAAACTGACATTGCCTGCTCGTGTAAATTTTCCTCCACACTAGCCCTATATTGTTGCCACTTTTCTCACAACATTAAATTATTTAGTGTGAGGACAATGGAAAAGGATTCTCTGGAAGGCCACGAACACAGCATTGTAAAACTCATCATTAGTTGAGCGTACATGGAAGTCTTGGATTGCACCCAATGCAGTCACAACCAAAAACATCTGTCAGAGAGGTCAACACCTGTTCATTATAAAATTATACGTCCTTAGGAAATTATGAGGGAGCACAGTTATGCTTTGCATATAGTGTGAGGAAAATTTAAACGAGCAAGCAGTGTCAGTTTGAAGATGTAACCATCATCCCATTGTACTAATGCATCACCTACACTAGGTCATCCCAGTGTTGTCTCCTTGCTTCTTATACCATCCCAATGTTCCACACTTTCTTTAATTCAAAGAACGTTTTATTTACTTGTCTCCTTTCCTTTTTTTACAGCATGCACATGCATTAGGGCCTAATGCCCACATAAAAAGTAACATGTACTTATTGTCTCAGACTCCTTGTCGTCGTCTACATATTTAATTCACCACCAAAGTACATAAGTGTAAAAGTTTCATTGTGAGAGGACCCAGCATAAGCAAGTTATAGGGAAAACAGCACGAAAGCTGTTTGTTGTAGTTTACAAACTCGTATTTTATGTTTTGATGAACTCTTATCATAGTAAATCAGTGTACCAAGTTTCATTGTTAGAGGACCCACAGTATGCAAGGTATAGGCACAAACATAATAGGTTGTTGTCTAATATCTGTTTCGATGAACTCTTATCGTAGTAAATCAGTGTACAAAGTTTCATAGTTAGAGGACCAACAATAAGCAAGTTAGAGACACAAACATATTTTACAAAGTTTTTATTGCCTGAAGCTGTTTGTTGTTGTTTACAAACTTGTAATGTTGACACTTTGATACTAATGATGGATTGCATGTGTGTACAAAATTTTATCATTCTGGGTATTTGCTCTAGCTAGTTAACACACTTTATCGGTCTATGGCCTGGGGCCATTTTTTTGTTATTTGTTCTTTGCATGTAAACAATGCTCTGCATGCTCTGCATGACTTGTCATGGATTCCAATCTTTGTGCAAAGTTTCATCTCCATATCTTAAGTGGTTTATGAGATACGTTTGTTTAAACTGAACAACAACAACAACGACAGCGAAATTTGAAAACTGA